AATGTAATTTAATTTAAGTTTTCTGAAGTCTAAATTTTGATCAAGCTGAGAGAAATTATTTATTTTTCATCTCTTTTGTCACATTATAATTCAATTATTTAGTATTTGGTTAATGTTATAATATCATTGATCAAACTGAAGGAAAAAAATGAGTAAAACATCCAGACTAACTCTATGGGGATACTCATTAATTTTAGATCAAATTATACATTTTTTTATCTTGTTGAAATTATATATATATATATATATATATATTTCTTTAAAAATAATATGATGACCATGAATTTTACCAAATTAAGCAGAATGCTTTCTCTGTTTTCAAAACTCATGCAAACTTCTCCAGAGACATAAATAAGATGACACAAACTTTGTTGAAATTAAATTATGTGAACCTGTTCTAAGTTTTTCTGAAATTACTCTTTTTCCCCCTATTTTAAGACATAAGTACACAACCCTCCATTTAAAACAGGTGCAACAAGTTTGTGATTTTTTTTAAATCTCAAGAAACATCTGTGACATTTATTCTATTATTTTTTTATTGAAATATCTGTATAAATTCTATTTTAAAAAAAGTTATCAATGAACGTTGATTAGAACAAAAGGTCCTATGTTCGAGTTATATGAGAAAGAAAAAAACTACTTCCTCTGCCTAAAGGCATTTTTTGATGGGTTAAATATTAAAAATATAAAATATTTTTAGTCTTTTAAGGTGTAATCATTGTCTTTTTATTTCAAAAATGTCCTTATTAAATAAATCACTTTATATTTATTTTAAGGTAAATGATCCTATTAAATAGGGGTAAATATAAAAAGATACAATTAGTTTGAAGATAAGTAACTACTATATTGAGGGTGAAATTTAATTAAAAATACTTTATATTTTTTAACAGAGGGAGTATATCATTGGGAGAGTTTTATTCTTTGTTAGTTATTAAATATAACAACATTAAGGTAATGTTTTGTATATGAAAAAATATAAATGAAATAGGTACATTTTTTAGGGACAAATTAGCCTATTGGAAAAAAAATCTTGTGTTCAAAAAGTATTAATGAAATTTTTAAAAGGGTAAAGGGGTAAAAATACCCACAAAGTAGTTAGCCACGCGAACCCAATATTTTAAAGTGATAAAAAGATAAAAATACCTATAACGTTACATGGATAGGTGCAAAAATAATCGGACCATTAACTTTGACCTAACACTATTAACTTTGATTGTTAAATGCTAACTTTATATGCCACATATCAGTATTTTTTGACATGGACTAAAAAAAGAATAAAAATATCCATGAAGTCCTAGGTCAGAAGGAAAAATACCCTATAACATTACCAAAGTTTGTGTAAAAATGACCAATCCATCCAATCCCTTAAATGTTGACCGTTTAGCTAACACCTAAACAAAAGTTGACTATTTTTTCACTAATGTAGATAAAAAATATTCCTAGATGAAATTCTCTAAAATTTAATCGGTTATTATATGAATATCATATGAAAAAATGTCATTTTGACATAATATCAAATTAAATTACTTGTTTCTTTGCAACAGTTGCAAAAATCATGTAAAAATTTTAAATCCATCGTGAATGCAATTGCTTAAAGTTGTAACAATATTCTTAAACTAAATGTGCTTAGTCTCAATCTTCGATTTTGAATAACCTATCTCACTATATTAAATCTCAAGTTTTGCAGACAAGAAAAATGAGTGGAGAGGGAGAAAGGAAAGGGGCAAGATACATGGTGATGAAAAAATCATATGGCATTGATTTTGACGCATTAATCACTATTGCACCTACTTAAATAACATTATAAATACTTATACAATGATTGATTAACATCTATAAAAATTCATCTTGAATATTTTTGTCTATATCAGCAAAAAAATAGTCAATTTTTACTTAGGTGTCAACTAAATGGTCAACATTTAAAGGATTAAATGTATTGGTCACTTTTACACTAACTTTAGTAACGTTATGGGTATTTTTGCTCCTAACCGATGACTTCGTGGGTATTTTTGCTCTTTTTTAGTCCACATCAGCAAAGAATGACACGTGGTATGCACAGTTAACATTTAACAGTCAAAGTTAATAGTGTTGATCAAAGTTAATGGTTTTGTTACTTTTGCACCTATCCAGGTAATGATATAGATATTTTTGCTCTTTTCGTCACTTTAGGATACTGAGTGCTCGTGGCTGGCTACTTTGTGGGTATTTTTACCCTTTTACCCTTTTTAAAAATTTGGGAGTATGACCAATTTACATTAATATATAAGATATTTATCATTGATATACAAGGAATTTACCATTAAAAATTTAAAAATTTACAAGGGGTTTATTATTAATATATAATGGTATATTATTGACAAATATAATAAATTGATCATAATATAAAATATAATAAATATTGGGCATTTATTTGATTTGGTCTTATAACATGAAATATAAATGCAAAAGCCTCATTTTTTATTTTATTTCTAAATTTTTTTATCTACATACCAAACATAAAAGCAATTATATTTGTTAATTCTCACATGATATTAAAAATAAATAGTCCAAATTGTCCCATGCCATGTCTTAATCAAAGTTTTTTTTGGGCCCAAAATGTCTTAATCAAAGTTATGATTCCTTCTAATCCTTGATACAAGGAGTTATTTGATAGCTTTGTATAGAACGAAGGACTTAGTTAAAATTAATTAAATGAGGTTCATTAATTAGGAAAAAGGTTGTTTAGTTAATTAAGAGATTGTTTATTTAGTTAGAGAATATCAAAAAACAAAGGACATTCTGAAAAAAAATTAATACTTTAAACAGTGGGTCATATATTAGGAAACATAATGATCGTTCTTATAATAAGGATTGGGAAAATATATTTAATTGAACACACTTTTCATTAAGGCTTGCATGAATGTAACATCATTTTTTGAGTAAAAGGTACCAAAAAAGCAATTTCAATATTTTAAAAAAGAAAGTAAGAAAGAAAATAAAAGAAGAAAAAAAAAGAAAAGTTAAATAGAAAAAGCTTTTATTATGTCCCTTAAGGTAAATAGAAATTCTTAAACTCAAGAGTTAAGGATAATAAACTCTTGATTACCTAGAATAGAATAATCACTTAAAATAATGAAACAAATTATATTTATTTGGAAGTGCAAAATCATATAGATATGACCTTTGTTGTGTGTCTCGATCAATTGGATTGTTTCTTTGTAAATTTCAATTATAAGGTTTTGTAGACGTTCGAGTATTTCTTTTATCATTAATCCTTAAATTTTGTCTTGTTGTAATTTAATCCTTATAAATTTGATTCAATTATAATCTAATTTTAAATTTTGACTCAATACAACTTAATACCTATAACTTTGGTAATTTAAAATATTAATCCCTATATTTTAGAAAATAAAATAAAAAAATAATTACAATCTTTATAAAGATTAAAAGTTTTAATAATTTAAAATATTAGTCCCTAATTTTAAAATAATTTTAATCTTTATAATTTTATTTTTTAAAATACAAGAACCAATATTTTGAGTGGTTAAAACTAGACAGATTGAATTACAATGAGTTAAAATTTAGTGAATGAGTTACAATCAAGTTAAAATTATAAAAATTAAGTTATAATGATTTAAAATTTATGGATTGAATTATAACTAAATTAAAATTATGTAGATCAAATGATTAATTTTTTACTAATTTAAAAGTTTTGTATTATGCCAAAATCCTTTGGATGTAGTGGCACAGAATCCTCTTTCTTTACGAAGGAGGTCACATGTTTAAATCCGTCCTTGTGTGTGAGGGTGTGCACGTTTAGGTATTTTTGTGTGCGTTTAAATTGATTTCTTAGCTTTAACCGAAAAAAAAAAAAGTATTCAGAAAGATAAAGAATTGAGTTTGAAGTTTAGTAATCTTATAAAATTTATCTGCTTACATGAAAAACAATTAAAAATATTTTTTTACTTTATGTCTTGATAAAATTATATATTAATATGAGAATGTTTTGAATTTATGCAAGAAAATGTATCTTGATAATGTTTAATTATTGATAAAATTCAATGTCTGTAATTTTTTTAAAGATGAGATATAGTAATAAATAATTAAAATAAATAAGCATTTATGCAACTAATTATTAATTGATGAACAATGAATAATATTAAAAAATAAGTTTCAAATTAGTAATTTTAAAATTATATAAATATATTATAACTGAAAAATTAAAATTTTAAAAATTTATTTTTATTTATAACCATTTATTTTTATAAACTTATTTTAAAATTATATAAATTTATTTTTATTTTTAAAAGTGTAGGGATTTAAAATATAAAAAAAGGCAAAAAGATATAACAAAACGTAAGCAAAATGTAAGTATCTAAAATTATGTTTTTCCTAAATTGTAGTATCTTTTTTAATTTTCTTTTTATATATATTAATATAGTTGACAATAAATAAATTAACAGAATATTACATAGTTAATTAAATTTACCATTTTGTACATATTAATTTAAGTTTTAATTACTGGTATCAATAAAAAAGAAAATAAATACATATTTTTGCTATATTTACAGGCCGTGTTTTAGAAAATTTTAATAATTTGTATCAAAAAAAATTATGTATTAATTAATAGTTTACAGTAATACTCTTGGTATTAATAAAGATTAAAAGAGATGAGGAAAATTGAATTATAATTTATTTTATTTAATTAAATAAAAATAATAATATAAATTTTAATAAATTAGTTAAAAAGTTTTATATATAAAAAAATAAAAAGATTAAATAGAGTGTAAAAATACTTAACACTGACACATTGTTCAAAGTTTAACCTGCAACCTGCAATGCAATGAATAGTGAATATATTTATTATTTATTATTTATTATTTATTAAGTGACGAGGACGTTTTAGTTCAAAAGCGTCTAAGTTCTCTTCATGTAAGAATGTGGGTCCCCTCTCTCGCCTCCGGCCTTTATTTTTCCCATACAACTCAAAAACAGCGGCGCGCTCTCTCTCTCTCTCTCTCTCTCTCTCTCTGGTTATGGTTTTCGGTTTCGTATTTGGAAATCGATACGATAGAATAATACGGCCTACTAGTAGTAGCAGTAGCAGCAAGCAATAATGTAGAAAGCGTTGCGAATAGAAATTCTGTAATTCGCTCACCAAATACCAGAGAGAGAGAGAGAGACAGAAGAAGAAGAGGAAGAAGAAAGGCTGCGGTGTAGTGGCGGTGTTCGATAAAAAGTCGAGCCCAGAACCAGACGTGAATCCGGACTGAATGCTTCGAACCCGGTTCGTGCTCCCCGTCGTGGTTGGCAACGTTTTGCGCGCGCGCGGAAGTCTGATTCGTGCTTAGTTTGATTGGTTCTCCTTAATCGGTATTGGGATGTGTTTCTTGTGCAAGTGGGTTCGTTTCTGTTCTTCCCAATGAAGGTGGTACAGGATGATATGGGGTTTACACTGGTATTCGAAGCTTACTCTGTGTAAAATATTAGAATAATGGGTTGTTTGTAATGCATGTTGATGCTTGAACAAGCTTTTAGTTATCCGGGTCAAGGATAACATCTGATGAGGGCGGAGTATCGATTGCAATCTAGGTTTTTCTTGCTACTGTGGCGCTTTTTCTGCAGGTACATTTGGTCTGCATTACTGGTTTTCTGGTTTTTCTTCTTCTTCTTTTAGTATACGTTGGTGGACTTAGATTTTTTAAATAATATATTTCTGCTAGTGTAGTGTGGGGTGGGGGGAAAGCAACGCTTGGATTTTTACTATTTAATAATTTTATTCATTTTTTTTTATATATTTTGGTTGCGGAAAATGTCTTCTTCATTGGGACTGTTAATCACTAGTTTATTCTTTTCCACCCCAAAAGGGTATGTCAATTGAAAAAGGTTTAAAACTTAAACTAAACGTACGACAGTGGAGATGAATAGTTTTGATCTTTTCATTAAGCCTATTATTTTGTTGGATCTCATATTGTTCTGTTGCATTCGGTTCAGATCTTACTCAATCCTGTTGAACTTTTCTAACAGGACATTAGCATAAAGTGCTGAAGGGTTCCCGAGTTGCATGCAGATATTGTTGCCGATCTTTTTTTGGCCCTTGAAAACGTTATTGTTCAAAGGGTTTTGAGCTGCTATGTTGTATCTTTGGATGGATTAAAGGAAAAAACATATTGGATCAATGTTTAAAACAATAGCATCTGGACTTTCAATTTTGTTTCTCCTCAAATGCGTATCTGCAACAGATAATGTGTTTCCCAGATGTAACTGTGACGATGAGGCCAGCTTGTGGACTATTGAGAGTATTCTGGAGTGCCAAAGAGTCAGTGATTTGTTGATTGCTGTGGCCTACTTCTCCATACCCATTGAGCTGCTTTGTTTTATCAGCTGTGCGATTGTTCCATTCAAATGGGTTCTTGTTCAGTTCATTGCCTTCATTGTACTATGTGGATTGACACATTTGCTGAATGCATGGACTTATGGTCCTCACTCTTTCCAGCTGATGGTGGCACTTACAGTATTTAAAACTCTTACAGCTTTGGTATCATGCGCCACTGCTATTACTCTTATGACTCTCATTCCTTTACTACTTAAAGTGAAGGTCAGGGAATTAATGCTGAGGAAAAAGACCTCTGAACTTGGACGAGAGGTTGGTATTATTTTGAGGCAGAAGGAAGCTGCAAAACATGTAAGGATGCTCACTCGAGAGATTCGCAAGTCACTTGATAGGCATACTATTTTGTATACCACCTTGGTGGAGCTGTCTGAAACACTTGGTTTGCAAAATTGTGCTGTCTGGATGCCTAATTTTGATAAAACAGAGATGAACCTCACTCATGAATTGAATGGGAGGAATCTTAATTTTTCTATACCCATTACGGATCCAGATGTTGTGAGAATCAAGGCTAGTGATGGAGTAAATATTCTTAGCCCTGTCTCAGCACTTGCTGCTGCCAGTAGCGGAATTTCTTCTGAGGCAGGACCAGTGGCTGCAATTCGGATGCCGATGCTTCGGATTTGCAATTTCAAAGGTGGAACTCCTGAGGGAAGGCAGCTATGTTATGCAATATTGGTTCTGATTCTTCCTGGTGGAGAGCCAAGATCTTGGAGGAATCTGGAGCAAGAAATAGTTAAAACAGTTGCTGATCAGGTTGCTGTGGCTCTCTCTCATGCTGCAATCCTTGAAGAGTCCCACTCATGAGAGAGCAATTGGAGGAGCAAAATCGAATTCTACAACAGGCACAAAGGAATGCTTTGATGGCGAGTCAGGCAAGAAACTTATCTCAGAAGGTCATGAGTGATGGAATGAGAAGACCAATGCACTCAATTTTGGGTTTGCTTTCAATTATTCAAGATGAGAATATGAAAAGCGAACAGAAACTCATTGTGGATGCGATGCTGAGAACTAGCAATGTCCTATCAAACTGGATAAATGATGCCATGAACATTTCAGCCAAGGATGATGGGGGATTTCCATTGGAGATGAGATCTTTTGGGTTACGTGCCATAATAAAAGAAGCAGCATGTCTTGCTAAGTGTCTTTGTGTTTATAGGGGCTTTGGTTTTAAAATTGAGTGTGAAAAGTCTTTGCCTGACAACGTTATGGGTGATGAGAGAAGGGTCTTTCAGGTGATTCTACATATGATTGGGAACTTATTGGATGGTAATCACCGAGGAGGGATTCTTGTACTTCGTGTATTCACAGAAAGAGGAAGTCAGGAAAGAATTGACCATGGGCGGACAACCTGGAGACCAAGCTCATCTAGTGGGGATGTACATATTAGATTTGAGATAGGGATCAAGAGAGGCAATTATGAGTTGGAGAGTTCACTTTCTTTAGAAGTTGGTGGTAGGAAATATTCTAGTTGTAGGGATGAAATCAGGTTGAGCTTCAGCATTTGCAAGAGGATAGTTCAGGTGAGTGTCATTGAATGTGTGTATAACGTGATTTTCAATGTTATGCTCATGCATCTACGTTCATTTAAATAGCACTTTTCTATGTGATGCTCAATTTTTTAGTCATTCAGTTGCAATGAACTCAACAGTAAAAATCTCTTGTGCTCAAATCCCTCAGAATTTTTAGGAAAGATGCTGGCATATGTTTTTCCCCGCATTTGGAACAGAATTAAAGTTGTATTCTTTCGTTTAGCACTTTATCTGTCTTGGTATATTAATGCAAATTAAAGTTCTCTCTCGAATGAAGTGAGATTTTTTACTATATAGTAACCTAATATAGAATGGTTCTGTCTGATTCTAGAGCAGGAAAAATGCAAGTTTGGTTAACATATTCTAGGCATAACACTTGGGAATTGGTTGGTATATTGATTATATTAAATCACAAATGCCATAGTTCTAATGCCCTAACTAGCACTTTCACTTATGATAGGATTGACTGCATAATCCTCCCTTTCTTTAGAAGCTGATAATGCTGTATGTTCTGGGAGAAGTTGGTTTGAATGTTCTAGTGGCTATGTTACTTTTGGAGAATAACTCATCTAATAGCAATATGAGAAGACACTTCTCTATTGTTAGCTTTTATTTTTGGGATCTTTTGACTTGATTGATTATTCATGCTTTTGACATCCTTTGGATGGATTGGTACTGATGTTATCTTAATTTGTTCAAGGCCTTTTAAATTCCACCTATGTTTATTTGAGGAAACAATGAATTAGCAGTTACTGTGCCATGCATATTTTTCTCATTTGTTTTGTGTCGATTCTGATTGACTTGTGCTTTTGGCAGTTGATGCAAGGGAATATATGGTTTGTACCAAATACATTAGGTTTTCCTCAAACCATGGCCCTCGTTCTTCGGTTTCATTTACGACCATCCATTTCTATTTTCATCTCTGAGCCTGGTGAATCCTCTGAGCGCACAGATTCTAATTCTCTGCTCAGAGGTCTGCAAGTCTTGTTGGCTGACAATGATGATGTAAATAGAGCTGTGACACAAAAGTTGCTTCAGAAGCTCGGTTGTGTCGTAATCTCAGTTTCTTCAGGATTTGAATGCCTTGCTGTCATTGGACCTAGTGGATCTTCCATTCAAGTCATTCTTTTGGATCTTCATATGCCTGAGTTAGATGGCTTTGAAGTTGCCACAAGGATTCAAAAATTTAGAAGCCGAAATTGGCCAGTGATTGTCGCCTTGACTGCAAGTGCCGATGAAGATTTGTGTGAAAGATGTATGCAAATTGGTATCAATGGAGTTATAAGAAAACCTGTTATGTTGCAGGAAATTGCCGGTGAACTTAGGAGGATCCTGATGCATGCAAGGAAATGAAGTCCTGTGAGAGGAGAGAGGTTGTAAATTTAAAAACTGCAGCATCAACAAGATAAGTTGTTTTGGGCCAGTGTTAGTAGAATTATACACCATCTTTTGCTCATCCCTGCAATACTCCACCCTAGAGATTTTATACAAATTAAATTTTTATGAGGAAAATTATATACAGACAAATTAAATTTTTATGAGGAAAATTATATACAGATTAGTTCAATAAGTTTTCAGTATGTATATCATATATATATATATATATATAGCATCTTCAGGAACATCAATACAGTCGGAATTGAAGGAGGGGGAAAGCACTAGTTCAGGATTACAGGATTTATTCAGGTTGATGTTACTCACTTCACGTGCCCACAATCTACATCTGTTTGTCAATTTCTGAGATCTGTTTTTCAGTGGAACAATATTTTTGGTTTATGTAATGAACAAATTAGTTATGCAGAAAGTAAAATAATTACTGAAGTGAGTATTTCTATTAGAGACCACCGAAACACTTACTTTGATGAGTTTCTACTGTCTTCTTCTCACAGTTAGTGTGAGATTCTCTCAGTGCAAATTGTTTTCCTAACTTGATCATGGAGTACTCCACTATCTTCTTTTATAGCATGCACTTATTATTGATTAAAATTAGTGAGCATGCTGCACAATGTTTTTACTTTTACTGTTTCTGTATTTCTGCTGCTTATTGAGCATATATTTGCAGAAATTTACACTCATGGTCGCTTTCTCTTTTCCCCCTCTCCAACCCAAAATAAATAAATAAATACGTCACACATGAAAACTGTGCACTTGCACAATGCTTTTTACCTTCATTATTTTTGTATTTCTGCTGTAACTTTTCAGCATTTGGGTAATCTGTATGTGTAGATTATTGCACAAATCAGTTAACTTGTATGGAGTAAGGATCCAATAGATTTTGATTGTGAAGTTCTTTTTGAGTGACCCAAAGACGCTAGAGATGTGTATGAGATCTTCTTCCGTTGTTGTCCCCACTCAATTATTTCTCTCTTAACCTACAAAAACATTCCTATTGAGAATTTTATAGCATCCAATCTCTTGTATTAAACAGTAGTATTGATGAGCTGATACCATTATCTGAATGAACATTGTTGTGACTGAAGTAACAGTGGTCTCCCCTCTTACTGTTTTGTCAGTTTCCTCCTCCATGAAGATTCCAAGTCTTTGATATATATATATATATATATATAGATAGAGAGAGGGAGGGAGGGAGCGTGATGTGTACTATTTACAAGTCTTAAATAGTGTAGCTTGTTCTTCAGATTGCACGGGTGCAAAATCTAGTTGTTAATATCTTATAACTTTATACAATGCTTCAAGGGTTCTGCTGTTCTTTTCTGGTGTGCGTGAGTACTTGCCTGCGCGTGAGTGAATGAGAGAGAGAGAGAGAGAGAACATAGTGGAGGTACATATGCAAAGTGGGGAAAATTGTGTTGGGTTGAAACACCAAGCTGGTTAGTCCATTTAGGAAAAAGTTTAGGGAGAGCATGGGTCCATTTTCTTGGTCTTTAGTCTGAAACATGAAGGAAGGCAGGCAGGCATGAATCTGAGTACGCACATATGGAGCTCCTGTCATTGTCCTGTGCACCCTTTTGCTTTTAATTAATTCTCCCACAGCCCAGCAGCCATGGCCCATGTTTCCTCTCAATTAAATACTCACCCACTGCCTATTTGCTTTCACAAAACCTCTTAAAAACCAATTTGACTCATGGGTCAACTTCACTATTAAATTGTCTTTCAAGTCTGTGTTCTTTTATAATTGGCCTGGTTTGCTTAGTTTTACATTAAATATATGAATTATTTTAAAATTAGGTTGATTAGTGAATCAGTGAAAATATTACCTGAAATCAAATTGTTCTCCTAACCTAATCATGAGGACCCCAGAATCATTTTCTATCACATGCACTTAGTAAAGATGAAATTTAGCGAGGACACTGCACATTAATTGTTTTTTTTTAAAAAAAAAACTTTCTGTTCCTATATTTATGCATTTCGAGTAGTCCGTAAATGTGCATTAATACACAAGATCGGTCTAATTGTGTGTAAGCAGAAATTTGATGGAATCATTTGAATGGACATTGCTCAATCAGACTGATTGCACTTGAAGCAACTTTTTCAGGATTTGGGCAATCCATATATGTAGATTATTGTACAAGATAACGATCTTGCTTTTACTTTTACTGTTTCTATATTTTTGCCGCCACTTTTCTACATTTTGAGCATTCTGTATGTGTTATTATCACAAAGATCAGCATAATTGTATGTAAACACTAAAAAAAAAAAAAAAACACACACACACACACACGCACACACGTAAATTAGTTACTGGCAAACTGCAAATATTCTTACCTTTACACATGTAATATATGGAAAAGTGTTTTCTAGTAAAGAAATGTGAGATGTATCAAGAAAGAAAATGAGATAGATGCATTTCTACCAAACATTGCATTACTGTTTTTGTATTCTTGATGCAAGTTCAGGTTTTGGGTAGTTTATATATTAGATTATTCCTTTGATCTTATTTATAGGATTGAGAGAATATTTATTTTGATCCTAGTTATAAAATATTTTTAATTATTATATTCATTTTTATCTTTTTGCTTCAATTAAATGTTGAGAAAGTTTTTAGATGTTAGAGTATTTTATTTTTAAAGTATTTGGGTTACACATCCCATAACTCATGGTGTTCATAAGTTTTAGCTAGTAAGGTTTGTTCACATGGATTTCTACTATGCATGGGTTGAGATATGATTTTCTTTAATGTCGTGAAAACAATACTGTTTTATATATAATGAAATAAAGGTACTGCTTTATTGCTAACTTTTGACCGCGCCTCAATGACAGTGAGAGAAAGAGGGAGAGAGAACAAAAGTTGTGAAAATGTTTGCTTTTTTTTTTATATATATATATATATAATAAAAAAGTTTAGGTGAATTGAGTTTTAAAAGTTCATAGTCAAAATATAAATTTAAAATTTTTTTATAAAAATATTTATAAATCATTCGTTTTCACATTTGATGTCATAATTTCATAAATTTTTATTAAATATACTGACTTTTGTTGATAACGTTGCCGGGTACAAATGCAAAGTGGAGAAACTTTTTTTTTTTTTTGGGTAGAATAAAGCGGGGAAAGTTGTGTTGGGTTGAAACAGTTGGGTGTTTATTTTTTATTATTATTATTATTTTGGGGACAAAGTTGGGTGTTTATTTATTGAGAAGGAAATTGCAGGGAAAGCAGGGGGGGTTCCTTTTTTAAAACTTTTTTGAGTTAAGTCTGAACTTTGCAAGCAAACATGCATGAATCTGAGTACGTATCTAAATCTCCTATGGGCCCTTTTGCTTTTGTTAAATTGTCCATGAGTACAGCATTCATGGCCCTTGACCCGTCACCACTCGAATCAATTCTCCCCTGCAAAGAGCGTCCCCATACACATGTATTGAAAGCGAGGCGATGTTAAACTGAAAGATTGACGAGTTTCATTTTTTATGACCTAATCGATTAAATTGACACGTAAACTAATAATATAATAATTAAATAAAAATAATATTAAATATAAAATATAATATATATATATATATATATATATATATATAATATGTATACTTCTTTCATTTTAAAAATATAAGATATTTTTTAATGAATTAATATTAAAAAATATAAGGCATTTTTAATATTTTGAGATATAATCATTACTTTTTCTTTTTAAAAAATGACCTTATTGATGAATGACTTTATATTTATTATAGGGTATTTAATAAAGGTAAATATGAAGAGGTAAAATTAGTTTGAAAGTAGATAACTTTGAGAGGTGAGATTAAATTATAAATATCTTATATTTTTTTAATGGAAGGAGTATAGATATTCAGTTATAAATGCCTTATATTTTTTAATGGAGGGAGTATATAAAAAATAAGTTTAGAGTATGTTTAGATATGAATAAAAGATAAAATTAATCATCTGGTTCTTGTAACTTTAACTCGTTATAATTCAATAATTGAAGTTTTGATTTAGTTGTAATTCAACCCCTAAACTTTGACTATTACAATTCAATCTTTATAGTTTTACCTATTTAAATATTGATCCCTATATCTTGAAAAATAAAATTATAAAGATTAAAATTATGTTAAAATTTATTAATAATATTTTAAATTACTAAACCCTTTTAATCTTTATAAAATAATATAAATATTAAAATTTTAAAGTATTTTTAATTTTATTTTTTAAAATATAGGATCAATATTTAAATGGTTCAAGTTATAAGAATTGAAATGCAACAATCAAAGTTTATGAATTGATTTACAATCGAATCAAAACTTTAAAGATTGAGTTATAACGAGTCAAAATTAAAAGATTGAGTTACAAACGTATCAAGACTATAGAAACTAAATGATTAACTTTTTCTTAATAAAATAAACGTGAAAATAAATAAATAATATTATAAATTATAATTTTGGCTTGATTTCAGTTCAACCTAGCTCAACCATGGAAACAGTTTTTTTAATCTAAATTGAGTTGTCAACACCTGCAGTTGATAGTTCAATTGGTTTGATTTAATTCTTAAAACAGTGGTTCTCATTATTGTCATGAGATTTGAATCATCCAATTTTATTTTAGATGATTTAGATTTAAACTATTTAAATAAAAATCAATTTTTCACAAAATAATTTAAATTATTTTCATTTTAGATTCTGAATATATTAATATTAAAAAATAGTAAAAATAATATTAAATCTAGACATTTGGTAACTCATTCCACTGCTTCCATCTGCATTAGTCAATCTTTTTAGAGAAATTCTACCCAAGAATTTATCATCTTTTTAATTTATTTGATTAATTAAAATCAAATTATGTAAATAATTGATTCTTTATATTTTCATTGTCAATCTACCAATAATCATCAAATACAAACAGAATCTTTATCTATGGTATATTACGTATGATTAGTACAGTATTTCTCCTGTATAGTTTATAAGTCATTATTCATTAGAGAATGTGGGACTCAGTGAAAAATTGATGGTAGATATATGGGGGCTACGATTAAAAAAGTGGGTGTGTGACTTAAAATTAAATTATCAAAAATTGTAAAAAATTTAAAGTGCAATGGAGAGAAAAAATAATTTTTTTTGGAAATTTAGTTTAAAAAAATAACAAATTGTGAATAAAATAATTTTTAATTTTATTTTTAATAAGCAAAAGATAATAAATTATTTTGTTAAAAAAAGATAATAAATTATATAATAAAATAAATTGTTAGGTTATATTTTTAGTATGTATATCGGTAATAAATTGCAGACGGCTGAGATGATACTCCTTGTCTTTGTAAGAATTTCTCATTTCTAGTCATAAATTTTGGAATAAAAACATGATGTTTAACTTTTTAAAAATGCACGTGGGTGGGCGAAAAATTATAAAATAAAACAAGTTGTTATATAGATTTTGAATTGCACGGGTGAAAAA